TTAGTGTAAATTAGTCTCTAATTTAATTTGGGTATTAATGACGGAGTAAATTGCTTGTTAGTAAAGTGCAGTTCCTTCACTGGATCTATTACTGCATTAAAATCGGCAGTGTTTCGGGTGAAAGTAACCACGTGCAAGAAATAGTGGGGAGAAAGTGGTTTTTGCAGGGAAATATTTCGACCTGCAAGAAATTCAGGGTGCAAGAAACTACGCACATTTCTTGCACTTTCTCCCAGTTTCTTGCACCTCACATTTCCTGCGTTTCTCTAAGAAATGCAGAAAACCCACAAGAAACGAAACACTGAAAACTGGGCGTCCAAATTACACGAATTCTCAAATGACTGCAACATGCTGTCATCATCCTAACTACATCATACATTAGTAATATGAAAAAAAAACTCAGCTGAAATGGTTGTGCTACTGCTGCTGGGACATTATTCATTCCTTACGTAACATGTGGTACGTGACACTTGCACGTACGAGATGACGTTTGTTTTTTGTAGGTCACGAACTGATGACAGAATGTCAATAAGTTGACTTTAAAGAAATACACAGTACGTTTTGTAGGAGGAATGAATCGACAAATAATCATTGATACAGTGGCCGCGGAAGCCGTGGGGACATGTGGGGACATTGACAATGTAGGATATGGGATGGAGGGGTTTATATAAGATGGGGAGTTGATTGGACATTGTCTCTCTGTCCCCAGACTTGCGCAGCCACTGTATCTTTTAACAAATGGAACTTCCCTTCAGTGGCCGCCGAATCCGTGGGGACATTGACATTAATTAAAAGGAGAATGTAATTTATATAACATGGACAGATTTTGGGGAAATCGAGTAAACAAGCGGACATTGTCCCTCTGTCCCCACGCTTCCGCGGCCACTGCGGCCTGCTACGTATGTGTCTCGGTCTTCGGACAAAAATCCGCTGTCCAATGTGTACTATGTGAAAATAAATTGAACCAATTTGACCAAAAGGGAGTCAAATTGAAACTGAAATCTTATTTTCTCTTTCTGAAATCAAAGTGAAAGCGGAGCGAATGAGAAAACATTTCACTTTCACCAGAGTTGAACAAAGGTTATCAAATTAGATTCATCTTTTATTTTATTCCGTCCAATTTCTAGCGTCGGTTTGACTCTTGAAGAATTGTATAAAAATATTTCTATAGCCCAGAAGCATTTCTAAAGCTTGGCTTTCTCTTTTCAAGGTCTGCAATCTCGAGAGAAGTGAAAAATGTAGCTTTTGAGAATATAGAAAAGGTTGATAAAAATTCGAGTACTTTTCAAATCAGTGTTTCGGATGTAAGTAAACCAAGAAATGGGGGCGACAAAGTTAGTTTTTTGCAGGTATTTTACCTTGTAAGAAATCCACGACGCAAGAAACTAATTTACTAATTTACTCTTAGAAATCCAGTATTAAAATAATACCAAACGGTGACTATACGTATAAGACTCTAACAAAGTAGGATTGAAAAGTGATACACTGTAGTGGTAGCTCGGTATTAAAGTTTTACCATATCGATATAGGAAATTTCTACGGACGGGTCTAATTTTAATACCAACCGGTAGTAACTTTGATACCGATGAGATATCAATACCTCCGTGAGTATACCAGATGTATAATATTAAATACTTCATCCGGCGTGTGGCCAGATGGCACATATGTATTTCTAGCACTTTCTCCCAGTTTCATGCACCTCGCATTTCTTGCTTTGCAGTGCAAGAAATATAGAAAACCCGACAGAAACGAAACACTGATTCAAATACAAATCCTTCTCATTTTGTAAGGAAGAAGTTATGTAAACATGATTTTATTTACTACCCAGTTCAAAGCAACAATGTCGCCGTAGACGATTATAATTTCAAAATATGTGACATCAAAGTAAACTTTACTTTCTCTCCCGAAAGCATAAAATGAATCAATGTAAGTTCACATTTATTTTGCACTTGTACGTTAAAGTCCCCAAGGAAGGCGGACTAAAAGTCTGGCATACTTCCGCTCCTCGTAAGCTTCAATTCCTCCCCTCTCGATCTCTCTGGATAAGAGTGGTTCAGGGAACATTGGCCGCGGAAGGGTGGGGACAGAGGGACAATGTCCCCACGGTTGTTGGATGTCCGCATCATCTGTCCATCTTATATAAACCCCGGCCGCCTTTATCCTACAATTTTAAAAAATTTTAAAGGGACCAACTTCTTAAACCAGATGTTTCGAAAAATTGTAAAGGGACCAACTCCTTAAACCAGCTATTTCGAAAAATTTTAAAGGGACCAACTCCTTAAACCAGCTATTTCGAAAAATATTAACAGGACCAACTACTTAAACCAGCTATTTCGAAAAATATTAACAGGACCAACTACTTAAACCAGCTATTTCGAAAAATTTTAAAGGGACCAACTCCTTAAACCAGCTATTTCGAAAAATATTAACAGGACCAACTACTTAAACCAGCTATTTCGAAAAATTTCAACAGGACCAACTACTTAAACCAGCTATTTCGAAAAATATTAACAGGACCAACTACTTAAACCAGCTATTTCGAAAAATTTTAAAGGGACCAACTCCTTAAACCAGCTATTTCGAAAAATATTAACAGGACCAACTACTTAAACCAGCTATTTCGAAAAATATTAACAGGACCAACTACTTAAACCAGCTATTTCGAAAAATTTTAAAGGGACCAACTCCTTAAACCAGCTATTTCGAAAAATATTAACAGGACCAACTACTTAAACCAGCTATTTCGAAAAATTTCAACAGGACCAACTACTTAAACCAGCTATTTCGAAAAATTTCAACAGGACCAACTACTTAAACCAGCTATTTCGAAAAATATTAACAGGACCAACTACTTAAACCAGCTATTTCGAAAAATATTAACAGGACCAACTACTTAAACCAGCTATTTCGAAAAATTTCAACAGGACCAACTACTTAAACCAGCTATTTCGAAAAATTTCAACAGGACCAACTACTTAAACCAGCTATTTCGAAAAATATTAACAGGACCAACTACTTAAACCAGCTATTTCGAAAAATATTAACAGGACCAACTACTTAAACCAGCTATTTCGAAAAATTTCAACAGGACCAACTACTTAAACCAGCTATTTCGAAAAATTTCAACAGGACCAACTACTTAAACCAGCTATTTCGAAAAATTTCAACAGGACCAACTACTTAAACCAGCTATTTCGAAAAATATTAACAGGACCAACTACTTAAACCAGCTATTTCGAAACATTTTATGTCCCCACAGCTTCCGCGGCCACTCTCACAGAATTTCAACTTTCACCAATTTCATCTAAATCTTCATCTCGATCTCGTTTTCTCTCAGCCCCCACAAATTTGTTTTCAACTTTCACCCACCGTACGGAGAAAGCAGGATGGAGAGCTGAGTCACATTTGGCATTAAGAAGGAAGATACGCCGTAGGAACAAAACGACCACTTTCACGATCTACCTACGTGTCCGAGATGCTACTTACGGACGTCAAGTAGAAGATAATAATGACCTTGGGTGTACATCCATGTTACAATAAAGTAATTCCGGATTTCGCAAGTAAACTATGTATGTAACTGGCCACGAATGAGCCGTAATTTATCGTAACTGCGGCTCTGTGATGTGTTTGTAATTTCAAGTTTGAAGAAAGGAGCCTCTTAGAAGGGAGGTCTTCCAGCGGATGCTCTCAGATTTTTGGAAAATTAGTCTCAATCGGTGACAAATTTAATTAGTATGAAATTTGCGAAAGACACGATCTCCCAATGGGCACATTTCGCAGAGATATTTGCATCCAAAGAGGAGAAAACGCGCCTTAAAGTCGACAAATTTTACACTTTCCAAATTTACTGCGCGTTTTCTCCTCTTCGGATGCAAATATCTCTGCCAAACGTGCCCATTGGGAGGTCGTGTCTTTTGTAAATTTCATACTAATTAAACTTGCCATAAATTGACACGAATTTTCCCAAAATCGAATATCGTACGCTGGGAGACCTCCATTCTCAGTATAAAAGAAACGAAAATACAAATTCATAAAGTACTTTCACTTTGCCTCCTGCCTCGTAACGTAACAAGTTTCTAGACTTCAAAAAACCAAACCACCAAATCAAATGGTCCCAGCAGGACAAGTGGTACGTCCAACCACAATAATTTATATGGTACTGGCATCTGGGCTAATTTTTCAACAAAATAATGCCATCCACGTCCGAATCCGGCAGGGTTATTCTTGTCTAAGGTTTTGAGTTGAGAAAGGGTAAAGTTTTTAACAAGGAAGAGAGCGAGCACAGTTTTTGGGAAATGCCGCAGATAGTTTCATATCTCATGTAATATCTAATATTGAGGTGGACATGACGCGAATTGTTAAACAGTCGTCATCGCCATAGGTACGGACGATTTACGGAACCGCGAAGGGTTTATAGCTGGACGAAAGGTTTCTCGTTTTCTGGGCGGGATGTGAAACAGTGCAATTTTTGAGAAAATATCATCCATATTGATGGGAAGCTATAAATTTTCCTTTGGATTGCCAACCGAGTAGAAATCATTGTGTCGAATTCTGCAAAAGCTGGAGATGCGTATTGTATTTGGCACAATTTTTTTAACATGCTCCGGCAGAGGGTTTCTGCATGTTTTATTCTGCAGAACTGAATGTCCATAATTGTGCATAATTTTCTGCAGAAATCGCTCTATATACAGTTTTTGTGCAGAAAATTGGACAAAATTGGTGCAGTGAATCACGTGAATTTTTATATAGAAAATCTGCTCAAATTTTTACTCCGGATATATATTTTAGATGAATTATGCAATATTTTAGGGGCGTGCACTTTTTTGCAGAAAATTGCAGCAAATTCGCAAATGCGCATTTCTGCAGAAAATCTAGCCAAATTTCTTCAGCAAATCCGCTAAAATTTTTCCCCTGTTTGGACATAATTTCCTTCAGCATAACTCCAAAATGTACCGAATCACACAATTCGATCACATAAAATCAAGTTATTCATTACAAACTACATATTTCACAACAATAACTTTAATATATTTAAATAAGTAAATCACATTTGCACCTTCATAAAATGTATCATTAGAGTAAAATTTATGTAACATGGATATAATAATGAGAAATATAATGCACACTTACATACCACAGTGCATAACTCGAAATAATTTGGAATTCGTCTAGAATGACAAACGGACGGCACAATAAAATATATACATAAATTTATACTCAAATAATTCTGTTCATCTGGTATTCATTTTTTGTACAAAGACTAACTACAAGTATTCCATACCATCTTAAAAATAATACAATTTTAATTTCTGAATTTTTTGAAGAGTTGAAATTTGGAGATCACAAGTGCAGTGTTTTGACGGTATACATGTATATAATATACAAATACTCAATGTATGTACACTCTAAGAAACCTGGTGATAACTATCACCGCGCGGTGGTCATATGTGACTCTACCGGAATGGTGACAGCTGCAACCACCGAACGGTGACAACTGCACCACCGCACGGTGATTGATCATCACTAAGCTGGTGATGGGCATCCACCCTCCGGTGGTCTTCTGCCACCTGCCGGTAGAGTCACATATGACCACCGCGCTGGTGATAAAATTTCTTAGAGTGTATACATATTTTCTTTACAGTAAAGAGTGTGCATTTCATAAGATTTGATATACATAAGGAAAGCTTGAATTAGAATATACATTAATTGCTTAAGAGTACTAGCACAAATACCAGAAAAGAGATGCAACTTCAGATTGCAATGGAAATATTAATCATTTAAAAATTTGTAATGTTACGATTAACAAGTATTTTATCATAATCTAGGAATAAATGCATCTCTTAAACATTTAGACACACGTGACACTTGTCTCTTCTTGATTAGTGAATACATTTTATAATCACATACAATTCTGTTTTTCAATATTACAATAAGAAATGCAAAATAAGTCAGATATCAAATTCTAAGATTGCTTAACATATAAAAAAACAGATAGTTAGTTAATCTATTTCATGTATAAAGCGGAAATTATTACTTTTAATAATTAACTTAAAACAATAATTGATAATCAGATTTTGTAATTCAAAGATGAGCACAATAGTAACCAAAATAATGCGATTTCTACTTTCTCCAGCTTAAAACATATTCGCACAATCTCAATGTCGAATCAAAATTATCGCTTAATTATTATACCCAATCACACAAACATACATATTAGACGAGTAATGCTTCATTACAATTAAGGTTCGACAAAGACTCGTCGACGCCAAGTATGTAAAAAACGCTGACATCGGAGACGACGTTCTGCGTAATTACTTGAATCCATGGCTCCTTTCTCATTATATGATCTGACAAAGTGATTCTGTGTTCCTTTCCAAGTTCCACTCTGCTGATCATCCTTCATCAAGATGAAGAAATTAATCAATCAAATTCGGTCCCTGTGTCGGAAAAAATGCAGTTTTTACTTGACTCACTCGTCTAATCAATCATTAGAAGAAGACTGATTTGTATATGAGTACCATATAGCAGAACCAGTGGCCGCGGAAGGGTGGGGATAAGGGGACAATGTCCCCACGGTTATTCGATGTCCTTATCATCGATCCGTGTCATTTGTATAAACCTCTCCCACCCCTATCTACATAGAATGTTAATGTCCCCACGGCTTCCGCGGCCACTGGTCGTCGTTTTTGTTCAACAACCAGTGGCCGCGGAAGCGTTGGGGACATTGCCATTGTAGAATAAAGGAGGTTGGGTTTATATAAGATGTGGAGATAATGGACACATCGAATAACCATGGGGACATTGTCCCTCTGTCCCCACCGCTTCCGCGGCCACTGACCGGAACAACTAGGATATACGTACATACATATTGGTCAGAAGTGACGGTGTTGGTCAGAAGATGAAATTGTGATCAAAAAGGAAAGTTGTGTAGTAGTAAAAGTTGCCAAGTTCGCTTTTCCCCGTTTCCTAGAAGCACGTCACAGTCGATTGTCGAACGGGGAAACTTCTTCATCAGTTTTGCTGCAATGCAATAATAAATAAAAGATCAGACTTTTTGATGTTAAGGTACACAAGTGTACATGAATATACGAAATCATGTCATGCAAATATTGTGTACAAAGAGGGAATTATTGATAAATGATCAATTAAGGATTCATCAATCTATTTAGATAATTCAAAAAAGTTTTTTGTAACTAAATGTACAAAATGCTTTCTCCTCGTTACTCAAACCTCGGTAATGACAAGAATCAAATGCAAACTTTCATCAAGAATGGGAAAATATCACTATTTTGCATTATATTTTTATATAAGTAACGCATTCACACGATTTGCACAAATATAACTTTCTAAATTGAATCTAGATCAAAAAACTTTTTTTTACAAAATGCTTTCTCCTAGTTATTCTAGCCTGAATGATAAGAATTACATACCAAAGAAGGGTACCTGGTTTCGATGGTCCCCTTCTTTTATCAAAAAGGTACCCTTCTTTCATCAAAAAGCACTACAAAATACCCTTTTATTATGTTTATAATTCATAAAATGTGTAAATGCAGCTAATAATGATAAGGTCCTTACCATTATTAACGCATCCATACAATACGGGTTGCAAATAACTTTCTAAATTGAATCTAGTTGGAAAAACTTTTTTCTTACAAAATGCTTTCTCCCTGTTATTCAAACCTGCCTGATAAGAATCAAATGTCAACGATGCAGACGTAACGATAAGCACAAAATGCCCTTATCATACACGACTTTCTTGCACATACATAACTTTCCAAATTAATGTTGACTAATAATCGATACATTGGAAGGACTAGTGACTGACTTTCTCTTTCACTCGCTCGCTGCCTTTCGTCATAAACATTCCCATTAATAAGGACGAGTATCCTATTCATGAAAACAAAGAGTGATACGATGGGAAACGGAAATCGGCAATTTGGGAAACGCGTTCATTTATTTTCATGTAATGGAAATGTTTATCGAGCCGAGAGACGAAAGGGTTGCTTATTGGGGCTCTCTGGAAACGGGTGTAATTTGAGTTTGCTTCATTTCACCTTGTGTTCCGATCCCGGTATCGCTGAAACCAACCGATGGCTCCAACATATGTGTGGTGACCTGTTGAATCAAATCGATACAGAGAGAGGCAAAATATGTAATGGATGAGATGTAAAATGTATTTGGGTAGGATGGAGGTCTCCTAACGTGTGCTTGCACAGATTTTGGCAAAACTAGTGTGATTGGCAAGATGATAAATTTGAAATTTGCGATAAGTACGATCTCCCAATGAGCGGGTTTGGCATAGATATTTGCATCAGAAGAGGAGAAAGCGGGCCTTAAAGTTGACAAATTTTGCACCTTCTAATTTGAATGCGCGTTTTCTTTCTCCTCTTCGGATGCAAATATTTCTGCCAAACGTGCCCCCTGGGAGATCGTGTCTTTCGCAAATTTCATACTACTTAAATTTGTGATCGATTGACACTAGTTTTGGTATAAATCGGAGAGCATCCGCTGAGACACCTCCATTGTTAGTTAAATAAAAGAAAACTATTAAATTTCCACCAAAACCCAAACATTTTGTAGGAAGACAATCATTACTGAGATAAACGATCCAATGACAAATTATTTGTAATTGGCCAAATAAATCATGAGATTTACGAGGAAACATAAGACAAAGAACTTCTCCACTAATGATTCCCTTGAAGAACAACGTAATAAAGTATTCTTTGTTTCCTTATAATTTGCTAAACAGTCCTCGCATGTATCTATCAGTGGCGGCGGAAGTTTGGGGGGCATTAGCTTTGTGGGATAGGAGAAAGTGGGACTTATTAACATGGGAAGGATAGGATTTTGCTGAATTTCTGGGAGGACAATGTCCTCACGCTTCCGCCGCCAATGACTATGGATATATTCATACCCTGCTGGTTATAATTGGCGACGGAAGTTGGGTTGGGGCATGTGGGGACATTCTTCACTTCATTCATTCTAAATTTCTGGGAGCACAATGTCCTCATGCTTCCGCCGTCAATGACTATGTACATAAGGATATCTTCATACTATGCTGGTTATAATTGGCGACGGAAGTTGGGGGGGGCATGTGGGGGCATTAACGTTGTGGGATAAAGAAACGGGGAATTATTAACATGGGCAAGATATGATTTTGCTGAATTTCTGAAATCCACTGTCCCCCCATCCCCCTACTTCCGCCGGTAATGACTACCCATATAAAGAGATACCTTCTTACCTTGCTGGTTATAATTACGGTCATCTATTCGGTTCCGGGTGCAGAAGCATATCTGCAAAGAAAATCTCATATGTCGTAACAATAATAAATTGCGCTTTCTTTCTCTCTTTTTTTGCAAGATTACCAAAATGAACATGAGGAAGGACACGGCCGCACCCCCAACGATGAGGATTAGTTCTAATGGAATGGGCTCGTTCATTATCCCCAACTAAATAATGAACATGCAGGAAAAAGAGAAAGTCTCAGCTAGAAAAGCAACCAGGACCACGACGACGAGAGCTCTTTTCCTTCCTGAACAAGAAATCTAGTGCTTTCTCCTGACTACTTTCTCCTCAAAATGCACGCACCATTCTCCTGCTAAATGGCGTGGATACAAACAAACATGGATGATGAATCTTGGTAATGAGTGGAAAATCGTGTTCTTTCCGAGTAATGGATTAATTTGTCAAGTGAAAGCAAGCGTATGTATTTGTGAAGTAACTCTCGGAGAAATTGTGAAGTGTTCAATTTTAGAAATAAGTTTGCCCTTTACGAACTCCTTGGTCGGAAATTATTCCATGAAGAGAGAAATCTTCAAGTACACTCTTAGAAAATTAAGGTATTAAATCATTACTGACCGGTGTATGACTTTACTAGAATTACCGTTTGGTAATGTTGAGTTGAGTAATGAAAAGAAAAATTAATACTCAGAAACAAATTATGTATTACCAACCCGGTAGGAAGTTATTACCAAGTCAATACGCGACTCAACCACACTATTAAAAATCTGGTTTAGTCATGCAGGTATTGGTTTCTCGGTGTTAAACTTACTCCCGCTTGGTATTAAAATTATACCGGTCAATAAAAATATGTTGCCGATATGGTAAAACTTTAGTACCGACTTATCGCTACCACTTTGTTAGAGTAATATATGATTACTGCTTGGTATTATTTTAATACTAGATTTCTAAGAGTGCAGCAAATTTTTGACATGAAGTGTACGAAATTTTATCCCGGATTATGTATGTACTTTTTATCAGTTTTTCTTTTTCTTTTTCTTACTTTTCAGCTACAGTTTTCAAGAATTTTAATATGAACATTCACTAGAATTCTGAAAAGTAGTCGTATCGCTTTTTTATAACAAAGTGAGAACGTATATTAACTCGAATCTGGGGTGAAGTTTGACTGGTTTATTGCCTTCCTTCCTCCCAATGAGAAAAGACAGGAACGGAGAAACTGTTGCTTCCTGCAAGTTTCTGAACCACTTTCACCCACCAAACTTTTTCCTCTGCCCTGCTCCACTACTCGCTCGCTCCAACCCTAAACCCAAACTAACTGAGTGACTGACTAAATCGGCAAATGCCTACTTTCTCTGATCAAATGTGAAGTGTCGTCTCTTCCTACTTTCACTATTTGGTTTTGTGAATCTTTTCGAGATTTTATTGGATTTGGAATCCTCTCAGGTTCTTCTCCGGAAGAAGACAATAAATGATTAAGGTGGGTGAAGAGTGCTGAATATTCAAATGGGAAAATGATATTTCGTACGTTCGAGAAGAGTGACACAGACGGCGGACTGTCTGTCAGATCGGGTAACACGATCTGATGGGTGGTTTGGCTTTCTTCCCTAGAACAGATTCTGCTTCTTGCGAGTGAAAGCTGCTGCTGCTGCCAAGTTGGTGGGTTGGAGGTAAAAGTGAGGAGAGGCAAAACGAGGCCTGGATTTGCAAGCCAATCCAAAACTGAGAAGTAATCTTCTATGTACGAGGGGCTACTGGTGGTTTGGTTTGGTTTGGTTGATGGTGCTGGTTCTTCGTTAGCAGACAATGTAGTCGGTCTGACATGGGCAATTGGTACACAGTTTTTGTGAAGATGCATACACGTAGGATATCAGTGGCCGCGGAAGGCGTGGGGACATGAGGGGATGTTAACATTGTAGGATAGGGGAGGGAGGGTTTATATACGATGGGGAGATGATAGGGACATCGAATAACTGTGGGGACATTGTCCCTATTCCGCGGGCACTGTACATAAATATGTAAGATACAATAGGCTAGGTAACTGCGGGGGGCTTGCCCGTTTCCTAGAATGAGGTTGAGTTGGTTGACAATGACAATTAGAAAGTTCGGAAATGTAATAGTTTACGCTTTCACTTTTAGAAAATGTACGATTTCGCCAGAATTAGAGATCAATTCTCGTTTCTCATTTCATCTCCTGGAACGAAATGCTTGAATGCTGTCTGTCTCCCATAATTTTTTTTTGTGATTGCTCCAACTAAAACCCGCAAAGAAACACCTCATCAGATCAAAATTTATGTGCCTGAGTGACTGGCAACTGTTATAGTGTCATCTTCCCGTCACTATTACGTCTTTCGCATCGCAGTCGTCTGTCCATTTCACATGTCCGGTTCGTCTCCTTATCCGCAAGTCTGATCTCATGAGAAAAACAAATAGAGACAGGAGAACACAACAGCTCGCTTGCTTTCTCTCTCTCTCTCTCTCACCCACTTTCTTTCTTTCTCCTTTATTGTCACTGGTATCCATAAACTAAAGTAAATTACAGACAAAAAAAGTCGAGTTAAGCCAACAACACGTACGTAAACTCGCTCGTCGTCGTCGTCCGTTCAGTAACAACAATTGGTGCGGAGTAGAAGGAAAGGATAAAGAAGGAGGTTTGATTGTGATAGGTCTACCACAGGATAGATATGAATCTCCTCAACCTCTTCGCGTCATGTAGTCCGTCCAGTGTTTCGGGTGAAAGTGACGACTAGCAGGATAATAGAAAACGGAAAGAAACTGGTTTCTTGCAGTTAAATTATTCGTTTTTTGCGGATATGCTACATTTGTAGCATTACAAATAAAGCAAGAAATGCGAGGTGCAAGAAACTGAAGGGCGAGAAATATGCGCCGTCTAGCCCGTAAAGCGTAGTTTCTCGCGTCTTGCATTTCTTGCAGGTCAGAATACTTCCGTGCAAGAAACAACTTTCTCCCCGTCATTTCCTGCAAGTGGTTACTTTCACCCGAAAAATTTGTGGTTATTATGACCTGCAAGAAATGCCAGGGGCAAGAAACTACGTCCCTCCGCTTTACGCGCGTGGCTGGATGGCGCATATTTTGCGCACTTTCTCCCAGTTTCTTGCACCTCGCATTGCTTGCATTTCTTCCTTTCCAGTGAAAGAAATCTAGCAACTCCGCAAGAAAGGAAACCCTGCAGCCATCCATGCATTACTTTTTCGTGAAAATGAGTCAGAAAACAGTACAGTTTGATACTGCAGTACACAGATCCCCTTTTACATAAATTTTTGTTTTGTATGGGAAACCAGTGATGAAGAGCGAAACCAACTAAACCACCGCAACCACCACTCTGTCGCAACACAATTAGGGCAACAACGTGTTAGGGGTTCGTAATGTTGCCCATCAACGTGGCCATCAGCATCAAAACTCAAAACTGTAATAGTAAATGGCAACGGCAAGATTTGTCCATTACGCTTTTGGTCTTTGCACTTCCCTTGTTCAATGATCACCCGACGAACGAACCACTTTCACTGCTTCCACTTCACTTGTGTCCTTCCGCTCATGAGGGCCAGTGGCCGCGGAAGCTGTGGGGACGTGGGGAGCATTAACATTTTAGGATGGGGGAGGGAGGGGTTCATATAACACGATGGGGACATCGAATCATACCTGTTCACTTTCATTCATTTGAATCATACCTGTTCACTTTCTTTCATTTGAATCATACCTGTTCACTTTCATTCATTTGAATCATACTTGTTCACTTTCATTCATTTGAATCATACTTGTTCACTTTCATTCATTTGAATCATACCTGCTCACTTTCATTCATTTGAATCATACCTGTTCACTTTCATTCATTTGAATCATACATGTTCACTTTCATTCATTTGAATCATACCTGATCACTTTCATTCATTTGAATCATACCTGTTCAGTTTCATTTATTTGACTGATTATGATAATGAAAATGAATTTCCTATCATTTTAATGAAATTCACTGAAGTATTCCTCATCTCATACCCAGACGAATGACTGAATCAAAGGATTTTTCATTCTTTTCATTCTTCACCCTATGCTTATCCTATGGGGCGCAGTAAGAAATGAAGTCTGATGAAGTGAAATGAAATGAATTTGAACTAAGATGACTGAATGTGAATGAAAATCTTCCGTTAGAAATCGGAATGACCGACTTTTGAATGAAAACTAACTGCATCGAAAAACCATGGACCTTGTCCCCACGCTTCCGCGGCCACTGGTGAGGACAACGAAACGACGATGGCGACGACGAGGCTTACGCGAATTTAATGGAATGAAGCTCAGGAGTGAATTTATTTCCAACTATGTACATTATTATATCCGAGAAGGATGCAGTGTGGTGGAAAATGAGGTGATGTGGTGTCTTGGGAGATTCACTTATCAAGAATTGATGGGTGACTTAATGAGATGAGAGAGTAGAGAGAGTCGAGTAATAAGAGAGTGCATCCATGCATGGAAAATGTCGTCGGCATTCTTATGTAAATTCCAGGTTTTTACAAGGGTGGATTATTATTGTACGGATAGAAATGTGTGTAGGAGACGATGTGAGTTAATACGGATGAGGGAACTGGAGGTCTCCCAGCGTATGCCATCAGATTTTAAGCAAATTAGTGTCAATTGATTGCAAATATTATTAGTATGAAATTTGCAAAAGACACGATCTCTGAATGGGCACGTTTGGCAGAGATATTTGCATCCGAAGAGGAGAAAGCGCGCAGGAAATTTGGAAAGTGTAAAATTTGTCAACTTTAAGGAAAGCTTTCTCCTCTTGGGATGCAAATATCTCTGCCAAACGTTCCCATTGGGAGATTGTGTCTAATTTGAGACTAATTTGCTAAAAATTGGAGAGCATACGCTGGGAGACTTCCTTTCACAATTTTTCGCATTTTAACCATACGTACAGAAATTGTCATTAAATTGCACAAGGTTGACTTAACAAATATGTTATGAGCCCGCCGTAAATGTTTATCCTTTGATCTGCAGTTCGTGAACTTGACCAGACTCGTCGATCCATCAAATTTCATCCATTTGGGCAATATTTAATAGTGATGGGAGCTAAGAGAGAGAGAGAGAGTGAGCGAGTGAGTGAAAGCTAATAGTCCAATATTGACTTTCTCTTGACAGGATGTTGTTTGTTTAGCATCACATCATCCCATTTCTCATTTCAGCCGGATGAATAAAATGAACAGCAGGATGAGACCAGTGCCCGCGGAAAGGTGTGTGGGGACAGAGGGACAATGTCCCCACGGGTATTCAGTGTCTTCATCATTTTCCCATGTTCCATAAACCCCACCCTTATCCTACAATGTTAATGTCCCCCGATGTCCCCACGGCTTCCGCGGCCACTGCACTAGGCAGATGAGGAGAAGAAGTAGCTGCTATCCCACAGATAAATACATATGCATTTTCCGGAGAAATGTCCACATCTGTGCGACATGGTATTCACTTTCACTCAACTTTCACCCGTGAATTGATGATCATGTTGACGTTGAAGACGTACATATTCAGGTTAATCAATAATGGACCATGCTGGCTTTTGAATTGAACTGTTGGTGGCATTCAAGTGGTGAAAGCTGGCTGGAGATTTGTCCCCATATGTCATACATATTTGGGCACCTTGGAGAAAGGCTGATTTATTACCAAGAAGGAGATGGAGAACTGCATTCGGCCAGATATTATTGACGTCAAATTATACAGAGAACCTGACAAGGGAACTCTCTCAGCGTATGCGGTCCGATTTTTGCAAATTAGTGTCAAGTGGTCGTAAATTTAGTTAATATCGAATTTGCAAAAGACACGATCTGCTCAGGTTTGAAAGAGAGATTTGCATCCGAAGAGGAGAAAACTTGTCTTAAAGTTCGCAAATTCTAAATTTACTGTACGTTTTGTCTTCTAGAGGTGCAGATCTCTCGCTCAGACATGAGAATTGGAACTGATAATGGAGATATCTTAGCGTATGATCTCCGATTTTTGGTAAATTAGTGTCACTCTGTTAAAATTGTAATTAAGATGAAATTGGCAAAAGACACGATCTCCCAATGGGCACGTTTGGCAGAGATATTTGCATCCGAAGAGGAGAAAACGAGCAGTAAAGTCGCCAAATTGTACACTTTCAAAATTACTGCGCGCTTTCTCCTCTTAGGATGCAAATATCTCTGCCAAATGTGCCAATTGGGTGATCGTGTCTTTCCCAAATTTCATAATAATTAAATTTGCTGTCGATTGACACTAGTTTTCCCAAAATCTGAGAGCATCCGCTGACAGACCTCCCTTGTGAGTGAGCCGTACTAAATATGTACGACTGGTTAGTTACTAGGATAAGATAATATTGGCCGGGTGGAAATAAATAGCCTCTCCGCATTTTCCAATCAAGAAGTTGTTTTCACTCGCCAATAGCCCTGTCTCATTATTACTTTTTAAGTAGACCAATCTCCTGGAAATGTGTGTGGGATAAAGTGAGCTTATATGTCAGCTTTGGTTTTCACGTAATTAAAGCCACCACGAGAAAGAGAAATACACGAAATGATGCCATTAATTCCAAACTGTGGAGAATTAGACGGGAACAATTCATCGAAATTTCCTAGAATACATTTGCTCTAAAACCCGTCAGATTTTGGGCTTAATTTATAAATCGACACGTGTAACATTCCCAGAACTCTGATTTCACGAAACGATTCTAGAACAATTTTCTGCCCTGGCTTCCAAATTAATTGGGAAAAACAAGGAGGAACATAAGCTTCACGTAGTTCGGCAGGTGTGCACACGTACAGTGGCCGCAGAAGCTGTGGGGACAC